CAAACAGGCCTGACAATCAAATAAATTACATTTTCGTAAATTTGTTTCTGAAAATAACCGAATTGTTTGTATCACTAAATCATTATACATTTTAATTTATTTGATGGCAAGACTAGAAAAGTCTAATGACATTGAAAGCTTAAAGAAAAATATATAAGAAAAAGAATTGGTGCATCAAGGCGACGGTTTCAATGGCGTGTTACGAGGAGGCGGACTGTGAGTTAATGCAAAAATGCATAAGAAGATGGATTTTCATGCTCAAAGAATTCCATTCACAACGTGCCAGTGTCTGCTAGATTAAGAACTTTACTGCGACGAATAAAGTTGAGAATAGAACTCATTTAGAATTTTAATCGCATAATATTGGGTCGAGTCCCTAAAAGCTTTTTGTTGGCCGTAATGGCTTACAAAGAAACTTGTAAATATATTTTTAGCATTTATACTTCTGTTGATGTATTGCTTTAAACACAGGCCTAATGGGCTTACACGCAAGTTTTTGAAACACACAATTTATAATCGTCATAATTTAACCAAAATTCTTACAACTTGGAAATGTAAAGTTAAAATCCTCATAATGAGACGGTTCTGTAAATTTCTAGCGCACACACAAGATCCCCAGAGTTTCTGTTTCCAACTGTGTGGCGTCTAATTACAAATGTTGAATGGAACTTTTTGTTCGGCCAGATTGTCGCGCCACCGAGTTATATTCACTTCAAATTGAATATTAAATTTCCGTTGCAATATAAGGAATTTTAAATTCGTTAGCTACATAGTCATTTAGATTGTTTTACTGCAAATTCTAATTTTACAAGCGAGGTTGCTGCAAGCCTTACTGAAACGAATATAAAATTTCATGTAGATAATGAAATGACGATTGCACTGTAACCAGTATACTGGAATAATCCACTGTGTGTAGAATATTATAAGCTCATGCGATCTCGTTATGTATTGTATACAATATAATATTAATGTGTTCAACGTATGTTAGTATATAATATTAATGTGTTCAACGCACGTACAGCTGCAGCTATTTCGGCAATACGACTGCATAATCCGCAGCATCCTATTTTGTGGCGGCTGCATAGCGTAATAATCTCAGCTATTCGGTGGGCTTCGTCAGCGCTCGGCTCTCGAGGCACTCGAGGCGGCTCGAGGCGGCTCGAGGTGGCTCGAGCTTGCGGCCTGAGAGTGCTGGCGCGGCGGAAGCGGGCCCTTACGTGCTTGTCGTCACGACACGCCGCCTTTGTCCAACCACTAGGCTTATTTGCTGAACAATGAAAAAGACGAAAGCTTGCGACATATTTCTGCAAAGCTTCTGCAATGACTCAGAGAAAAAAGTATTTATCGCGTAAAAAATATGGCATGATTCAAAAATAATGGACGCCGTTCCCTGTCAGTTTCGAATTCATTGTATTGATTGATGAAAAGGCTATTATGAGATTCCACCAGATTTTGGGAATTTTTCATTTTCGTTTAAACGCGACTTTGCAATAAATCGATTTCGGGTCCAATTTATCAAGCTTTCTAAATACCGTCTTAGGCGAGTCGTGTCTGTGAAATTGAGAAGAACATCGAAAATGACGAAAATTATTTTAACATTCTTACCGCACGACGTTCTAGAAGCGAGCGACAATTAAATTCAGAGGGTGTGAGCTCTAAGTGGGTACGTGTTCCTTTAAAATGTTATTAAGCTGGAATCCTGATTTGATTCTGAAGACTAGTACAACGGTAGCATACGTATGTAGCTGTATAAGTTTCTTCAAGGGACGTGTTCGAAACGATCAACATTGATATTGGTAAGGTTTTTGTGATTAGATACGCGTTTCAATTTCTCAATTCAGTCGGTCCGTCGGAGCGAGTGAGCGATGCGCACGTCGAACTAGCGTGACAGCCGCCCCCTTGTGGCCTATACACACTGCGGCTTGCTCCCTAACTCTGGGCCTCGTCTACTACTGGTTATCTATCTACTGCTGGTTACATTGTCTTTGTGATACTCATTCTAAATGGCTCCTCCGAATTTTAGGGCTAGGGATACTTAAAGGTGCATGGAAATGGATTTTAAATTGCATTATGTAATTGGAATTCCTTTAACAAGAAATCTGTTTGTCTAACTTTTTTATTTATACGATTTATATTGTAATCGAATATTCAAAGATTTGTAAGATAAATCTCCAGTGGAAGAATTCGAACGTTTATTTAGATTTATTTTCTACAATCTAAAATCTATCTTATTAATCTGCATACATACATAGTTTTGAGTTCTGATCAAGGCTAGACTTTTATATTCCATGACGTAGTTACTTATGAGTTAGTGTATTATCATTGAATTAAAAAGTGCCTAGTATTTTTATCTCTTTGGAATAATATAAACACATTGACTTTGTAGAGCACTGAGTATTTGTTGTTGTCTCTTAAGTTTATTTTTAAATGCAGTGTTCCTTGCTCACATCAAAGGAGCTTTCATGAATTTATTAAAATGATAGCACGCGATCAGGTCGGATTTCAACCTCTGCTATAGTAGAATAACCACAGTCACGGAATAAATATTGCTATTGAAATGTTTTAACCTAATATATGTATGTTTTCTTCAGTACTTATTTTTTATTAACGGGAGAGGACCCTACCTGTACTTTGGTATCGGTATTTAAAATCATGTCAAATCAAGCGATTTTAGTATGGAGGATCGCGGAAGAGGGCACTTGAAGCGGTCGAAGGGTCCGGAGTGCACTTCTGGTGAGCCCGTCACATTATTCGACCTACTTAGCGGCGGCAATAGACGAGACGAGCCCGAGGTGTCGCCCGTAGCCGCCTACTTGATATTGTCGTGCTTATGGACCACTCGCTGTTGAGATCTACGAGTATTTTTATGATCCTTTTGTGAGCGCCACGAAATTATAAAAATCCTGATAACCGCTCTAAAGTTCTTCAACTTCAATTGAAAAGTGATGAGGCTCTGACTTATATTATTTCTTTATTTTAACATTTTCTCCATTGAAATTCTCCGAAAACGGAAACAATAAAATTATGTAGTACAGTAACGGATGCTACAATACAATATTATTGCCCATAATATGTTACACCTACACACCCAAAATCTTTCTACATATAAGTGTATCGAGGGTAAAATATTAAACGTAAGAAAATAAGGCTTCAACGAAAACGAATTGAAAAATTCAGTCGAGTGAATTACGGGATAGCTCCTAATGCCAAGATTAAGCAGGATTGCCTCTGCTTGAATATTTCCCTCCTTCTGTAAATAAAATACCCACATCTATTGGGCTGGTAAATTGAGAGCTCAGCAAGACAATTTACTTTTGTAATTTTCTTTTTATATCAAAATCTGGTCAAGTATATTGCGTTAGATGATACGAGCGGTTCGATATCGGTCGGCGAGTGACAGCGGCGGCCATATTGGTCGCATAAATCAAGCGGGGCGGCGAAGTGACACCGCGCACCGTAAGCGATCGAGTGTCACCCGTCTAGAAATAAAAGCAAGAAAATTTTTCACTAGTTGAGTGGTTTACTCTGAGGCATGCGGCGAAATTTGTCTCGTCTGCTACCCACTTACTTGTTGTTTATGTTTTGTCTTCTAATTTGGAGACTCGGTTACTTAACAACTTGGTGCGTTGTTTATCTGCGTTTGCGTAAAATATTAAATGTTGTATTTTACTTACGTAATCTTGTACACTCTTGGGTCTTCCCGGCCTACTGACGAAATCCGTTTTGCTTTGGGCTTTCAGTTATGCGATGATAAGGGTACCTGAATTATTTTTGAAGAAACATTTTTAACTTTTCAGATTTCTTATGACTTCAGCAGAGAATAAAATTCAAATACTTTTCGCAACAGTTATTTACACTGTTTATTTTAGCACAATCAGGTTTGTGCGGTTTCTACGTAGCAGTTCGAAGTCCTTAAAGTTACTGAGTTGTTTTTCTTGTTTTGTAAAGTTGAATTCAAAAATAGATTTGTTGAGCAACCTTCTTTGAACAAAACTAAGAAAGCTGTTACAGCTAGGTACTGTAGAAGTATGCAGACGGCCACTTAGTTTTATTATATTAGTATACATTACTAAATCAAGTCTAGCTGCATTAGCGATGGGAAAGGATATTGATACGCGCGCAGGCGGCGTCAAGTTTCGCGCGGTTGCATGTTAGCCACAAGTTATGCATTCCCAGTACATAATATTACTGTTACAAATCAACACACACGGGAATTTGTCGCTAACTATAAAATGTGTAGTTAATAAACTTGATAGCTTAGAACTTCTTGGCAATTTGTTCATAGTATCAAGTGCTATAGAGGGGTTAATATATTATAGACTTAAGAATAATTAAAGAGTGTGCTTGAAAAACGATTTATAGAGGAACATTGTAGGAATGAGGTTCGTAATTTGCGTAATAAGTAGGTGCATCGTTCAACATGACAGACAAAGTAGCAATAGACATAAGTATGGAAGACGAAAGGGTGACCGGTGCGCGGTGCCTACATTGAGTAGTCACAAATGTTTCATGTGCCTTCCTCACGCGACTCTAAGGCGTGGTTCGCAAAGGACTTACAAATGGTTGCATCCATTTGTAACTAACTCCTTTTAATATACAACAACTTTAATGAGAAATACTTTGTCTTTTAATTATATAATGGTGTAATTTTTCAATTTAATGCGGAATTTTGTAAACCTATGCATGTAAATGTAAATTTTATTTATGATATTTGTCACGCAGTTAAACATTGACATGTGAACTTAACAAATTTAAGTAAAAAGCATTTCATAGCACTCGTTTGGAAACATAACCGATTTTCCGTGACACACTCAATATTACCTTATCTTTTTCTTTTATGTTAAACCAATTTTGTACGGGGTAAAAATCAAAATAAACTCAATGTGTCTTTTATACATAGTTTGGTCGACCGGACCAAGAATTTGGCAAACTTTTGAATAATAAAAACAACTCTACCGTACTTGATATCCAATATTTCAATAAAGCTCCAAGTTTTGGGTATGAGAAAATGGAGAGGCGAAAAATTACATTATGGAGGTCTAGGAGGCATTGAGGTTCTCTTTTATCAGAGGAGTGTATGTGGAAGCAATGTGCGGTCTGTCAGATGTAAGTTACATAATATATATACTAACTGTATTTATATTAACGCTCGTATGACTTTTATTTCGACATGTCTAACACAAATGGTGTTTTGGAAGAATTGTTGTTTCATATCAATCAGGTTGCTGTGGTCATGTGGTAGCTATCGGATTGATCGGATGGTTGAATTACGTACAAAAATTTGTTTGTTTGTTTTCTCCTACTTCGTAATTTAGGAAAAAACAGTATTGTGAGAATATCTAAACTTTTCCAAAAATATATAAGTACTTCTCTAGACTAAGTTCACCTACCAATCAGCCACACAAGTAAACGTCATCAATGTTCTATATTCTGTTCTCAAAATCTTTTTGTAGATAATTTGATTACAAGTTATTTTCCATAAGGTAGGCCTACATAAATGTAAACTCATATTTATTTTAGATAAACGTGAATATCAATCCTTCTGAAGATTTTCCAATTAGTGCACCCACGCGTGGCCTTTTATGAGATGTTCAAGGATTATGATTACTTCCTAATTTCGATTAGGTATTCAACTTAATAAAACCAAACAAAATCAGTCGAAGTCAGTCATAAAATGTTGAAGGGGACACGTGTAGCCACTTTATTACTAAATCATAAACATATATTTTGATGAAGACACTCTTTCCATCTATTATCTTATTGAATATTGTAAAAGCCCTCGCGTAATTCGTAAAATATTCCACTCGCAGTTCCCTGAACGTTTAATATTGGATAAAATACACCCTAACGTTCCTCCGTATTCCCCCGTTGTTCATATCGGCATGTTATTCAGATTATACACGAATATTTCAATGCTTTCTACTAAATTACAGCTCACGAAACTCTTTTACTTAATGTCCTACGTTGACTGGAGCGTACCCGCGCGTACATCATGCTACCAGCGATTGCGATACCAACGGTACGTATACTTGTATAATATGCCCATGAGTGCATTGTTTTAAGTTAATTTTTATTGTTATAAGGATTGCACATACCTTGTGTATTATAGCTATAGTATATCTTATTATTCATAGAATGTCCTATTCTAAGTATTATCAACAGAAAGGCATTTGTTTTTTGTGTGTTTTCAACAAGATGAATTATGATTTAGCCGCATCAGCTAATGGTTTCCCAGGGTCGCATTTCGTTCATAACCACGGAGACCGTACACAATTTGCATACTGTTGTTATTATAGACGAAAAATTGCAACACATTAGGCGGCTCCGTCTTAAATTGTAAGAGAATGGATTTCCTTGAGCAAATACGCCCGTTTCATTATTCTAAACAACGAATAAATTTACAGAGGGAAAACAAAACAATTGTATTCATTTTGAGCGACTGCGGTTGCTGCATTACTTGATCAAATTATTCATTCCTATTTTCTGTTTTAACTTGGTTTCTTATATTTTTAAGTAACTTAAAAGAATAAAGCTCGCATAACAGCGCACCAAAACAAACCAATTAACCTTCTGATTGGGATGGCTATATAAAATAAAAATCGCGTCAAATGGCAACTGTCAGCATTTTGGACGAAACGGTGCCCTTTAATTAGATTCGAACCGGGCATAACCGGCTTATTCCAGCTTAGGCCTGTTCCGTGTAAACACAGTCGTGCCACTGCAAAAATGACCAACTAATTGGCTTAGAACATTGTGTTACGCAGTTTTCGTATCCAATATTCTGTGGATTGGTGCTTTGTAAAAAAAGAACCATTTTTTCTTGTTAGTCCGATTTAGGTAGGCGTGTGTCGGTTTATCTGAGGTCATTTTATTTTGGAGCGGTGATTGTACGCTTTTATCCGTTTTAAAATAGTACTCGGTAAATACTTTTTAACGTTGTCCCGAAAGTCCATTAAATGGCAAAGGTTTGTGGCGAATACGGCAAGATGGCGTGTTGGCGTGATTGTCGCGGTGAGTCGACTTCCGTTTGCCGGTGCTTGTGTACCGGATGCGTTACGTCTCCCGCATCTACCGGCTGTTTCCAACTCATCTCGTTTCTTTGTATGTACACTTGCCATGACACACCGAAATTTTAGGGTTAAGCATTTTGTGCTCACTACGTGTATTACAATGTAAGTAAAAACGATAGTGATACGTATGTACATATCTATTCATATAAATTAATTTTTAAAAGATGTTGAAGTAGAGAGAAATTATTTAAAAAAATGTTAATTCGCGGTCAAAAATAAAAATAGCTCGGAAGCATGGAAGTGTTACAAAAAGTCGAAGCTCAACGAGCCTAAGTGGGTCTCAAAGAACCTCTATTTGGTGGCTATGTTAATTTAACGAGCGTTTATTAAGCAAATAGCCGAGAGTTGTGTAATGTAAATGAAAGTGTAGTTAGGTGGTTCTGGTCGGGAGGTCGGTGTGGGACAGGAGAGCGCACGTTATGTTACTCACACTTGGCTGAGTGTCGCAGCCGAGGTGTACCTTCAAATACTTTTCATTTCGTGTATAAACAAAACCATTCCTACGGTCCTTACATAGCTTGATTTCCTTTCAATTAAATTCTCTTTAAGCTTTGCCATACCCACGAAGCTTCACACTCGAGTGATGTCTGAATTATACGTGTTAGGACCTTTTGAGAAGGATATTATATGTAAGTACCTTGTTATTTTTAGATGTCTATCTAGAGATTGTATTCTACATTTGGTTTATCGTTTTATTAAGAAATATTTTAGTCTGTCAGATAAACAGTTATAACAATATTGCAGAAAACAAGATAAACAATAACAAAGTTGTTACAGAATGCCTGAAACATTTATAGTTTGAGCGCAATACAAAGTTTAACTTCAGACTGTGCTGTCAAGTTCTCAACGTAAGTAAAGAGTAAAGCTCCACAATATCATTGTTTCAAGCACGTTGAAAAAAGTAGCAGAGCGGCGAGTGTCCCAGTTACTCTCAGAGCTACTGTTTCAACCACAACTAGACACGAACTTGCTTCAGTCGAGTCACCTCAAGAAAGGTTTCGCGTGTATTAAGCCTATAACAAACTGTGAACTTCCACTACACAGCCTCTGCAGTAAATTTCGGGGTTTTATTGAGTCGTTTTTTTAGCCGGCTTTATGTGGAGACAACGTATGTACTGCGACAGAACAATAAATACGAATTTAAATAAAAATCCTCTTTGTTACACGAGTTTGACGGTCCAATAGCAAAGTTTATGTAGTACAGGTTTTAGTGAGCACTTTGTGGGACTAATCAAAATTGCTTACTAATAATGCCTACACAATTAACGTAATTTGCGTGGCTCTCCCCCGCTTACTACAGATAATGGTTTTAATGTACCTTAAGTGAATTAATTGAAACGGAGCGGCGAAAAGCCTCGGTATCCAACCCGGCATAGTCGAGTTTGTGAAAAAATACGTTTGTAGTTGTCAGTTTGTGAGGTCGTTGATACGGAGGCATATGTATGTACATAGTATAGTAGAACACATGTAGCACTGATATAGCTATTCATGTGATGTTTGATATATGGGGTAGCGTCATGGGCACGCGGCGTCCTTGTCAACGATATAAGTGACTTTAACTATGATTTCTCGTTACATTTACGCAAATTGATTTATTAAAAGAACACTTCATCCTCTTGTTATTCTACTAACTACAAACGGCATCTTAAATTTCAAAATACTGCGTAAAAGAATTTAGGATTTAACTTGAGTTAGACACTACCTACGTGGCACTAATAACATAAAGAAAAAGTGTATAAACTAAACTAAAACCGTCGGTGTACAATTACATCGAAAGTTATTTTTATTAACATTTTAATACGGTGTTAAGGACTCAATTTCGTTTCTTGCCTCCAACTCCAATGGAAACTTTTCCACGATTCTTTTTTTCAACGACGTAGCAAGTCGTCGTCGGTGTAATTACGTACTTTTCGATGTAAACGTTTCCGAGTAGCACACGACTATGACAAGTGACGACTATTGTCATTCATTCGAGTATTCTTGGTAGTAGGCAGTACTTTGTATGTAGTATTAAAATAGAATACAAGGCACGCTAGCCCGGCGAGCCAGCCGCGCCGTCGCCGGCGTTACATCTTTAATTACTAACATGGTTTATACGACCGGAACTATTTCCTACGACGATAATCCACACATTTCCTTGTAAGTTACTGCGATATGAAATAAACTGTATACTGTAACTCAGTTTTTTGAGGAGAACTAACTATGAAGGTTTGTGAGGTTTGAAAGGACAGATTATCTGAGGTTGAGGGTAAGGGTAATATTGATGATATTATATAAATAAAGGTGTTGATTATGCGTATTATTAGACTTAAAATAATTGTTCAAATAAAATGTGATGTGAGATGTACCCAAGTTATTGTTAAAAAAGTATTGTAAAAGTAAGTTATTATATATGCGAAGATTACTCGGTAATATATGAAAAACTAACAGTGAGCGCTTAAAACTGTTAACGTATGTCAATCTTACTAACTTACTTTACTTTCTAACTACATTATAGTAGTTAAATGTGAAGAACATTAAAAGTTTTGTCATGTCTTGATTACCATCATTTAATTTTCTATACACAAAGTACGAATTAATAAAGCTAATACAATGTACACAGCTAATGTCGAAGTTGAAGTTGTAGCAGAAATGTGGTCGTAATGTCAGTTTGTTCGGGCGGACGGGCGAGGGCAGGCAGGGAGCGTATCGCTACCACAATAATTTACTCGATTACCCGCGTCGCGTGCCCGCTACCACTACAAATAATTCATACGACCCGTCTAGTAATGGCCTTTTAGCTGCCCGTCTAACTTCAAATGTAGTTACGTAGATGTGGTTACCAACTATTGCTATTAAAGTAGCCACTAAAACCTTCAATTTGTGTGTGTCACATGTTGTTACAGTCATTTCGGAAACTATTCGAAAAACTAACAAGGGTTTTAAATTTGTAAGCGGCTGGGTGTTGTTATGAGAAATATGTTTATTATACAATTTGAAATATTGCTTTATTCAGGGGTTGTTCAAACTAACCTTGTTCTGTAGAATTACATTTTAGAGTAGGGTTAAACGAAAAGGTGGTTGTCATTTGTCAATGATACACGTGATCATTGTGGAAAGCACTTCCATATGTTGGTCTGTTAGAGTGCCTACACATCTTCAAGCAAAGCAAAGCTTCGTATTACGCGAGGAAAAGTTAAGATGAAAAAAAACTTTATACTAATAAAAAGGAGTGGAGGACGCGAAAGATGTGTGCAAAGATTCGGAACAGGCGGCGCGGCGCGACGCAGGGTTTTTGTCTTTGCAAAGGATCTTTTATTAAGATATGTGTTTGTACGAAACATTGGACAAAAAGCTTACTTTAATACAAGTTAAAAGAAAACTTCGTACGAGGGACTATTATATATGATAAAAAGCCTTTGAGTAACTCACGAACAATTTATTGTTGCTACTTGAGAAATTCATTGAGAATATTTTACAGTCGTCCATATTTCAGTGGTTTGTCCCGGTGGCGCATGCTACGCCATCATAACTTAGAGTTATCAATTATTAATGTAAACGTTGTTGGTCGGAGGGCTCAACAATAATTTTACTGCGGCGCTGTAATTTACCCGAGACTAGTCGTCAAGTTCCGTGGTTGGGACATGTTTAACTTCATTAAGCATAATACAAGCGCGCAACATACTCGTTTAAGTCCAATCTAAGTTGTGTGAGAGGACGAGTTTACATGTGAATAAATTATTATCTTGCAGTCAGCAGAGTTAGTGTGAAACCTCGGAACCGCTATAAACTCGATGCACGGAATGTCTTTGAATTTGTGTTGCTACTGTAGATAGCTACTGTTTACTACAACATCACAACTGAGCCAAGCCTCGGATTTGGTTGGCAATGGCAATTCAGTTGATGCCTGTTCTGAGAATGCAGGCTAAGTTCCGTATACAGCTTAGTGACCAAAAAGTTTCGATACTCAAACTTTTCGATACAATACATTTGTTCAATACAAACTATCAGCTAAAAAAATTCTCTAGAGTCAGTTTAGGCATCCGCTCACCCTTTCAAGATTTGTCCTTGAACAATGGATTACGTAATACTTGTATATTTTATTAGGGTTGTTACAGACTTATCGATAACATTACAAACGACGACTAATGTTCGGAGATGCTGTCCGTGTGCAAACTGCCTTATTTACTATCCTCGATTTCATAATAGCCAATTCAAACTACGTTATCTTATCTGTTTGAGAGCAGGCCCCTATATTGTCTGTAGGACACTTCATACGGGCACAGATTCAGGGATTTACTGCATAGGAGCACTATGTATGTCGCATAATAGTACATATATATCAATAATATACATTGCCCCATGGGATAAACAGGTGTAAATTGCCGAACCCATACTAATTAACTTACCTACCTATTGCGGTTGACATCTGTGAGCAAACCAATTAGATATGGATTGACGACTTATTAATGTAGATGATGTGATATCTTGGTTAATATTACAAGATTTACCTATACTTTATTTAGAATAAAGGTATTTTTTTTACTATAATGACGATATTGTAAGTGTTTTAACATTTTAAACAACATAAACTACTGTGTAAGTTTGGACAAGTTCCGTAATAACGTAATAACTTAAGTAGGCAATATATTCCGGAAAATTAATGAAAATGTGAATAAGAGCGCAGTATCAGCATAACACATACGCGTTCCCGTTGTGCACGAAGTTTGTCCGCCACTGAATAATTAACACGCTAATGGCCAGATCGCAAATAAACTCCGAATAATTGCACTCAAACTTGCCCCGCGTTAGAACTATGAAACACGACTATGTTTAACTACTTACACTTTTTGAACTACTTACACTAATATGTAGCTTAATGGCTCCTACGTTATTACTTTGTCCAACTCTAAAATACATTTAAAAAGCCAAGGTCTACGCTCGTAGCAAACTGCTACGCCGTAGCACATACATGAAGAGAAAATAAAAGACTGTCTTGCGCCGTTATTAATGAAATATTTATGGATATAATAAATAATTGTAAAATATTATACGGAGATATATTTTGTTGAGCAAGAACCAAGTTTGTAGCGATTGTCACGGCTCGCTGCGTGGACCATCTACGGAATAGTATTTTCTGTAAGCGGAATAAAATTGGAACATGTTTTATTTTTTAAACGTTATTTCTGTGCAAATATATTCTTTAGGATGCTTCTTTAATCTCGAGTAGAAATACGAACTCGTTTCTAAATTAACTTTTTAGAACGTATGCCATGTTCTGTGGGTAGTGTAGAGCGTACATCCACTTTCAGCGTGTTAGTCATCCATTGCTCGTTTATAACTGTGTTATGGGCTGACTAAATGCATCGATGTCCAGGTAAGATGCAATCTACGTGTACATTGTCTATTAGGTTATAGTTCTGCAGTGGGCGAAGCGTTCCAATATTATCGCATAATACCTTCAATAGAGATTGTTCCACCGCACACGATTTACATAAACTGTGTTCCTGAGAGCACGTGCCACTAAAACTGCACTGATTGCCGTGTACTGGCAACCGATAAAACTTTTATTTGAACGACAATTGCCGGATGTGTTCTACACTTTTTGATCATTTTACTTCCCCTGTAGAGTCAGCGATTTTATGACTGAAGTTGTTTTAGAAGAAAACTTGCGATTGAGGATCCGTTTACACAAAACTTAAAACCATTATTACGCTTCTAAAATATTTGTTTTATTGTTCAGGTATTCTCGACTAAACTCTAGGTTGAATTTCTTCTTATCGATTAAGTGAACTTCCAAACTGCCACCGATGGGATTTCGTGAAACCCCGCTGAAAATGTCACACACGAGAGGGCACGATACGCGTATTAACGTAAATTCTGCATTCAACTGTAAACTAATATGGTTTATAGGCAAGCTTTTAATCATTTTAGTCGTGGATTTTGATGCGCTATGAACAATATGTGATCGTCAATCGTTTAACAGAGCGTCATAATGTTCACACTTCATACGTGACCATGTTTTCCAAGTATACCGTGGGACCAATATTTACATTATGATATTCCATTAAGTCACTACACTAATGTGGTAGGTATGTGTAATTAAGTCCTACTTAGGCTTTTCTGAAGACTGATTCCCATTTCCAATAAACAATTAGTTTAAGAACAAACGTTATAAAAATACAATAGATAATGTATTCAAGTAAGTAGAAACGCTCTACTACATTATGTTCATTAAGGTGAAATGTACGGCGATGGTTTTGTTCAGCTCGTTCTAATTAAACAATCTAATTGGGTCAGTCGTACACTTCCCTATAAAATATCCGAGCCCATACACTCACCTACCAAGCGACGTTCAAAATTATCTAATGAAGTTAAATATAGAATTTCTATTTAAACTTTATCTCCTTTTATTTACGTAGTTATTTGATCGTTTCTAAACTTCAAGAGGTAAAACTTTAAACAATTAATGGATTTAGTTTTTAATAAAACATATTTTTATTGTTGGTCGCGAAACTTAAAAATGTTGTAGAAGTCGAGAGGAGCGTCAGGTCGTATACGAAATCTCCGTCGGTGGTCGTGGGTAATGGCCCAAGTTCGGCTAAGCCCCGGGAAGCCCCCGGACGTGTGAGGAATGCGCCCCGGCCCCGCCTTATTACATACGTGATTCTTATTTATATTATATTTGGAAGCGGGAGAACGCGTTTCCGATATCGCCAGTCGGATTAACGCATTGCCGCCTTTTAGTGCTCTTAGTACTCAACAACTTTGTAAGAACCTTACAGAGTTACGCGAACATTGTCGGGAAACACTTTTACGGTTATAAGTTTGTTTTATAATGTATTTGATGGCTCTAAAATGTTATAACAGAACCGAGTACCAGATTTACGAGATGTATCGTAAAAATAATGTATTATTTTAGTTGTATCAAATGCATGTTGGTTGGAGTATGAGTGTATTAGGAACGGAGGACTGGTATCGTTTTATTTACTTTCAAATATTACCTTTTTATATTTCCTCTAACATTTTATCCCCATTCATGGAGCACAAATCGATATAAAACATCCGGTAACAATATATCAAGTGTGAGAGGGACCTTTATAAAGTATTTTTGGTAGTGTCCTGCGGGCATGTTGAAGTTGTAAGAAAATCCGGGAGTCCCTGAGGGCCGGATGCACAGTTTCCGCCCGACCCGATGGTGACAACTGCTCCTACATTTCTACGGGTTATAGCCTACAATAGATTAGGACTTATTATAGAATTTTAAAACAACGAAATGTTATTGAACTGGGTATTCGCAGACATTTTTTTTTCCAGACAATGTCATAAGAGACGTAGCTGATATGGAGTAATTTTAGTTGCGATCTTTAATAAGGAGCACTAAATTTAACTAGAATATCAGGTTTATCTGGTAAGTGAAAATAAAGAAGGAATCAATTCTGAAAAAGTCGTACGTATGTAACGTAGTCCCTCGTATCAATGGGAGGTATGGCAATGGCTAACAAAGTTTGATCTGCGCCCCCTAACTACCCTCCCCTTGTTCGGAAAATATTGAACATTGTAGTGCTTTTAAAAGGATTAATTAGATTCTCACACTGTTCGGTAAACGACGCAATATTCCTCTTGTTCCATTGAATATTTAACGAAGTGAATAAGTTTTCTTACCAGACCGGTGACATTTTTCGGTATACAGCAAAATTAAGTACGTACCTGTAAACAAATAAAAAATCTGTTAAATATCGATACAATAACAACAATACAGAGACAACCACGAATTTGTAGTAATTTATAATTAAGCGGGATTTCACAGAGAAACGAATACCGCGTAAATATATCAAAATAATAATTATAAATTGCAAAATAGGGTAGCCCTATTCATTTTCATATCTATACATCATAATATTACTCGCGTTTATACCAATTAAGAGCAGACGAAGATACATGTGGTTAGAAAAGTATAAAAAACAACATAAATACAATTTAAGCCGCGTAATATCTGTCTAAATTATAACGGTGCGCAATTACTCAAAATTAATGGTGAAATTAATACTTTGACCGCTGTTTTAATTAAGAGCTTTATATTTACTGGTGAATTTGTAACGCTGATGTTTTAATTACATTTATATAGCTACGAATATGAAATACACTGTTCATTGACACGCGAAACGTGATACTTTACATGGGAAGCCGAATGTTCTTAATGAAAAACACGGTAGCTGGACAAAACAGAATTTATTTTATTAAGTTTAAAAATGGACACGTTTGATATCATTACCGAATTATTATTAGTAGCCATATTAAAATAGAAATGAATTTTCCGTCACGTTATCACGAAGTTCGAGACTAAATAACAATTCCGTGAGCTACTCGGTAACAGAATAACAACAAGTGAAAACTCTCTCTGTTCGGAAATCTGTTCATCGACTCGCTTCACAGTTGATATTATTTTCCTTCTCGGAATATCTCTAAAGGAGACCGGCCGTTAATAGGTACACGGTGTGAATGCGTAAAAAGTTGCCTTTTGCATTATTGCGGAGTTTCACACGAACCGAAATATTCCGGGCGTGTATTACAATTTACATAAACTCCAACGTCATTCGAGATGTATTAAGGAGAATGACATTTTATGCTTTGATATGCGGTGGCGATGCAACAGAGTCGTGTGTGCGGAATAAAGTAGGATCGCGGCGAATGTAACGTTATTCCTGTTTTGTGGGCAACATTATGTGTAAACTTACCTCATATCTCGCTTAATGTATTTTTACTCTATGTGATACTTATATACAAAAAGTGTTGTATTTCTTAACTATAGCGAAACTTTTTGAAGTTGTGTTAATTATTAATTAAAGCGAGAAATTATCAGTGAATCAATGTGGCGCCCAAAGTACTGCGAGCGAATTATTCGAGGAAACTTTGTGAAATGTTATCTTTCCTCAAGTACTTATGCCAGAAGTTTAACATTAAATCATTAGAATATTAATCTACAAATTATGAAATTTTGTTTTATAGATAAACATGATAGAATTACTGGTTATTGAGTGGGATCTATCGTGCATGGCCGACATCAAACAAACCGCAGTCTTTTGAGTCCGGTAATGCGATAGTTTCTTTGACATGATAACGACCCGCCTTCCCAGCTCATATCAACCGAATACATTATATTCTATTGACGTGCGCCCTCACAGTTCACGGAACCAGGAAATATTGAAAATATCAAGCAATTCACTTAGTCAAACAGTCAAAAGTATCCGTGTTACGAAAACGTTCATTTACAACGACAAAAAAGATCAACAATACAGCGTCAGAGGTCAGTAAATAAAATGTGAAAATAAAATAAAAACAAATTGTAATCCGAGTCAACTCGGCCGCTGGCTGCAAACC